CTCCCTTCCTTCCTTGTGTTTCACCAGAAACACATTCACATTGCCTGGATTTGCTGATAAGACCCACAGCATACTAAACATGATTAATTATGGAGTCCTTGGTGCTCTCTGAGCTTGGTGGTTTGCTCGCAGACATTTCATTACCCAACTGGGTAAAATCATCAGTTCTGATGATGATGCCTAGTTACTGATGACGTTACCTAGCTGGGCAATGAAACCTCTACAAGCAAACCACCAAGCTCAGAGAGTACCAAGGACTCCACAGTTCAACCCTGAGCTACAGATATTCTCTTCTATCAGAACATGATTAATTGTTAGTTAATTAACTGATTGTTGGATTGTTTCTTTACGGCTTCCCATGTTTTGCCAACCCATTCCTTTGAGTTACTGGATGGCTCTATGTGTTGGGTGAACTCAGAAAATGGGTTAATTCAAGAGCCGTGTTCAGATGTTTCCAGACACAGCCATTGCCAAATCTGGATTACAGTCTCACTGGGCCCTTGACTTGTAGGAGGCAGGGCCCTCCTGCTTTGTTCTTTAAAGTGACACTCATGCTATCTTCATATGTGCAGGCATGCCTACATACATACTATAAAAGAAAAGGTAGTCTCTGTACGACAGCGTGGGAAGTGGTGGGAAATGGCTATCAGCCGAACACTGCACTGCATGTCTTCCTAAAAGCAAATGACTTCTAGAGCTCCCCGTGCCTGCCAGAGTCGGTTCTGATTTGAATGGCCTGCAGGATAAATGGCAAATCATTCATGTGGCAAGGGGCCTCGAGCATAGGACCAGTGGGGCCGACCCATTCGATCTCCTGGAACTCCCTTGAACCCACCTGCAAATATTGAGACTGAACATCTGCGCCAAGTAGGGGGGAAAAAAGATCCCCCCATCAACTTTTTACAAAGCAGAGGCACGAATCTTTCTGTGAAAGGGGGTTGATTATTTCAGAGGTTCTTCAATGCTCCCTTCTCTCCCTTAGCAATGCACTTGGAAAGAAATGTGCAAACTCTCCTATAAGGTTTTTGTGCATAAATGAAGACAAAGGAGCAGGATGTCAGAGTACTCAGCTCCCACCGGTCTTCTCCAAGGCACAAACTTTAGCAACCAGTGAAGGCCGGCTTTGGTTCATCGAAGGTCTTCCAACTCACTTGGGGGACAAGACGTTCTGTAGCTGAAAGTCGCCTGCAAACTGTGGTAGTTACTCTGGGGAAATTTGGGTTTTAAAATTCCACTGCAGGGACAACTATTTGTCCAAGGACAAAAGAGCAGCAATTTGCATTACAAGAAAAGACACCTACATCCAGACTCATCCCATTATTCCCTTTCAGGATGAGCAACCCCAGGCAAAGCTCAGAAAAAAGGTGTAAGAAATAGAACGTGGAAGAAAATCAGGCATGAAGTGAGAAAAAGGAACGGGATTAGAGCTAAATTTAGTTTCTAACAGCACCTTGGACTGTGCCTCTCCATTTCTTGTGTTCTTTCAGTCAGAATTCTGCCCAAAACCTTCCTGGGCACCCAGAACAAGTGAAATCTCTGTAATTTTTGCATTCACTTTTGCTACTTTCCCTTTGTGAAGGAGAACAATGAAGGCATTCTTCCAACTGCCATCACAGACGCCCCCTTCACACACACATTAAACAAGTCGCCCAGCTACTCTGTAAGCAAACCGCAGCCATATTTTAAGATTTTTACCATCGTATCATCTACGTGTGTGGACTTGCCATCTTGCAACATTCTCACAACATTGATAACTTTTTTCTTTGACATTTACAGCATTTGCTTCCTTTCTACTTTTCCATGTATCAATAGAATTTCCATTCCGATCTTTCAAACAGTCCTTCCCGCACTCCTTCACTTTAGTTTCATCTCAAACAATTTCATTTCTTCTATTTTTAATTCTATTCATTCTGCTGGAGGTTCCTTGTTTGGCCCACTTTCCATTTCCCAGAACAAGTTTGATTTCTTTCAGATTGCTGTGTGTTTTCTCTGCCTCTTTAAATCTCAACTGTTCCTCGCTCTCTTTGACTTTGATTCTTTACAACAGTCTTCTTCTCCATATATACATTATACAGCAGCATTCTCATTCTCCCTTGTGCACTTGTTCTCATCCACAGCCTCTTTCACTTCATCATTGCACCAAACATCTTTTTTTTAATATTTCCACTTAGCCTGATTTGCATTTAGATAAATGATGGTGACAAGCATATAAAACTTATGTATATTAGGAAATACAGATTCTGTATGTATGTGTGTACGTGCATATGTTTGTGTGTGTGTGTGTGTGTGTGTATGTATATTGATTATATGCCATCAAGTTGTTGTCAACTCTTACCAACCACACCGATAGATTTTCTCCATGATGATCTCTCCCTAACCTGGTCTTTCAGGTCTTCCAATGGTGCCCCCATCACCACAGTAACTGAGTCTGTGCACCTTGCTACGGGTCGTCCTTCTCTTCTCTTCCATCTTTCCCAGCATCAGAGCCTCCTCCAGAGAGCCAGATCTTTGCATAATGTGCCCAAAGTTGGATAATTTAAGCCTGGTCATTTGTACCTTGACTGAGAACTCTAGGTTGATTTGTTTGATGATCCATCGGTTTGCTTTCTTGGCTGTCCACGGGATTCTCAGGAGTCTTCTCCAACACCAAAGTTCAAAAGCATCAATATTCTTTCTATCTTGCTTCTTCAAAGTCCAGAAATATATCAAAATACTATTTCAGTAAATAGGTATGGTAAAATGCCTGGGGTTTTTATTGGTTTGCTCTACAGGTGTGAATTCACTAGGGATTCAATAACTTCAGTGCTCCACTCTGATTATAAAGGCAATTTTTAGACCAATATGCATAGATTAAAAGTCTATGACATCCCAGATTCCACAAACCCTCTGCGAGCAGGGAATTTAGATGCCTGTAGAATAAAGATCCAATTCTGCTGTGGGAGCCGGCAGAGAGAAGATGAAGACGAGACTAGGAAGAAGAGCTAGAAAGATGTAATGGTATGTGGGGAAGACCTTGGGAGACAGGGCCAAGAGATGTTGCCTAGGGAACGGTCAGATAAGAGAGGGCATAGCCTGCAGCTACATAATGGGTAGAGAAAGAAACTCAGGAGGGACCCTCCCTAGTTTCTCAGGCTGTAAAGGAGACAGGAGGGAGGATTTTCAGACTTGCAAGAGTCTGTTAATGTAGCCTTACAATATAGTAGAATTAGCTTATCTGGTTGTGTTTCCTCTCTGGTTTACCTGGGAGGGCTGACAAAAGGCCTGCTCTGTTAACTGCTTTCAGTATGGTAGTGAGGTGTCCACAGCAGGAGGGGGGTCAAAAAAATCAAGATGGCAGCCATGACTGTGCAATCAAAGTCCTGCCCCTTTTTTTATGTCGTGGCCACCAAATGCAATACATGGTCTGGGGCTTCTTCAGAGATCTTAAGTTGAGTAGTGATGCTGCAGCCATCTGGAAAAGGTGTGTTGGGGGGGGGGGGGAAGCAGCTGGGGAAACCCTGAATCCTCTCAGGTCAATGGAGCAGAAGTGGGAGAGGTCAAGGGGATGAGGGATGGCATAATGGTGAGAAAAAAAAACGGTTCAGTCTGGCTTAGCCAATTTCTAACATGCACATTGCTGTCCTCTAGTAGACATTAAGCTGTGTATGGCTGCTGAAAATCAGGAACGTGCTAGCCCCTTTTCTGACTTTTTTGTGTGTTGTGCCTTCAAGTCAGCGTGGACTCCTGGCAAGTGCCTGGATGAGCCCCTGCAGTTTTCTTGGCAAGATTTTGGGAAGTGGTTTGCCCTGGCCTTCTACTTCCCAGGGCTGAGAGAGAGTAACTGGCCCAAAGTCACCCATCTGGCTTCGCGCCTAAAACAGATTGGAAGTCCCAGCCCTGCAATCTCTAGCCTGGTGCCTTAACCGCGATCCCAGACCCATTTTATTAAAAGGCAGGAGCTTTTGTGAGCTGCAGCTCCCTTGACCAGATGCCTGGGGTGGCTAAACTAATGTTGGATTTAAGTTGGATTTAAATCCAAGCCATTCCCTCTGTGCCTGAACCGAACATGAATGATATGCACTGATAGTATTGCTTTTAAATGAGGCTGGGGGGGGGGGGGGGAGAAGCTCTTTGCATCCGATCAGAGGCTCTATTTCATGATGCCAACAAATGCCAGCAACCTGAAATGTCGTCTCGTCTGAGCCCCCCTACCCCCCCCCAAATTCTGATTGAAAAGCCACAAGGCCAGGCTGGATGAATGTGAAGGATACCTCTGTGTTTTTCACACGGAGGGTGCGTGCCATGGGGGTTACCCCTCAATATGAGGCCATGTTTCGACCCTGCCTGGCAAGCAGAGCAACTTTTGTGCTTGACTGGCATAAAAGACAAGAATTGTATCCAAAAACCTAATCAGACAACCACGAAATATATCTAAAATGAATTACACCCAGCTAGGGAGCCAAACAAACTGGGGGAAGCGAACAAGTGTTATGCAAGGATCTGGGGCGGGGGGGGGAACCCAACACATTTTGGAAACTGACACTCTCTATGGAAAGATCAGGAAAAAAAAAAAGAGGATATAAGGAGAGGAGGAAGAGGGAGGAGGAGGAGGAGGAGGATAAACAAAGATCATTGAACAGATCTCTCTTTGTGTAATCTTTTCTCCAGGCTTGCGACGTGGAGAGAGATCCGACCGGCAGAGAGAGATGAATGAGAGAGATCAGCCCGAGGAGCTGAGCACTGGCTGCGTTTGCGGGCGTGAGAAAGCAAATTAGGACGGTAACAACCCGACCCAAGACCACAACTCTCCCGGAGGCGCCGTGGCCGACTGACAGCTCGGATCCCTTCTCTGCAGGGCAGCGAAGCAAGACCTCCGTCTGTCTGTCGGTCGGTCGGTCGGTCTCTCTCTCTCTGGGCGCGCGCCTGGGCGCCCGCGAGCGCGCGGCGAAGTTGCCAGAAAAAGCCGCGGGCCCCTATCTTAGGAGGAATACGGCCCCGTTGCGGAGGGCTTGGTGATCGGGGGTTGCTTGCTGGTGCCTGCGATGAATGAACGGGGCTAACCTCGCGGGTATAAAAAGACGACGTCGCCGGTTCTTGCCCGTCTCGTCGCGAGCCGAAGAGAAGACGGCGGCCGGCTTTGCGCCTTCCCCAGGGCGACTCGGTTTCCCAGCCAGGAGCGCCAGGCAGAGTTTGCAGCTTACGGTAAGTACAGTTTTTCGACTTTAAAAGGGGGGGGGCGGCGGCTGAGAAGGCTCGGGTGTTTTTAGGAGCATCCTCTGGACCAAGCCTAGCTCCCTCCTCCTCCTCCCTCCCCGTTTTCCAAGGTTTAGGAAATCTCTCTCTTTATTGATCTCTCCCTACGTGATTGGAGTGCATCCCGGAGAGCCGGTCCAGATCGCTAGAAATCCCATCCCGGCTGGAGGGCAGGAGCGAATGGTGGCTGAAGTTCACCAGGTTTTTATTTGGGATGCAAGAGGCGACGTGAGGGATCAGTCTGAGCATGTTCCCGGCTGTAAGGCGATCGACAGTGCCCTGAGCATATGCAGAGAGCACAGAAGGATCCTCTCTAGCCAGCCCCCCTTCTTTGCTCAGCCTTATTTTGTTTTTTAACAGTGTTTCTCAACCTTGGCAGCTTTTAGAATGGTGGGTCTCAATTTTCCACAATTC